ATACGTAGTTCACACCTAGCACTGCTCATCAGGCCATGCTGAGGCAGCGTCCCACACAGCAGAGCCAGAAGGACCTACAACTAGAATATACAACTATGTACTGGGGGTCTTTGGGAAGAAGAAGAAAAAAAGAAGAAGAAGAAACAGATTGGCAACAAATGTTAGCTGAGGTCCCAATCTTTAAAAAAAAATAAATAATAAAATAAAATATACAAGCCAATGGATTTTAGTATATTCATAGAGTTTTCCACCCTTATACACATAAAAGTCTTCTCAATCCAGAACTGGCATTGGGTTGCTGTTGAAGTCTAGCAATCTTGTCCATGCCTCTTTCCTTAAAGAAGATGAAATTTAGATTACAGCGGTTGTCTACAAATCAAATCTTTCATAATGTGGCTGTGCATCTTAATCAATTAAGACACTGTATCCAGGGGCTAGCCCTGTGGCCGAGTGGTCAAGTTCACACACTAGGCTTCAGCAGCCCAGGGTTTGCCAGTTCAGATCCTGGGGACAGACCTACACATTGCTCATCAAGCCATGCTATGGCAGCTTCCCACCTAGCAGAACTAGAATGACTTACAACTAAGATATACAACTATGTACTGGGGCTTTGGGGAAAAAAAAAGAGGAAGATTGGCAACAGATGTTAACTCAGGGCAAATCTTCCAAAAAAACCACCTAAGCTTTAAAACACTGTATCCATTTCCTCTTCCCCATGCAGAATCACAGGTGAACAACAGTTCCATGACACCATAGAAACTTCCGGAACATCAGTCCCCAGTGGGACACTGATGAGAGTATTTCTTTCCCTTTAGAGGGTAAAATCCAGGCTTCCTTAGTTCAAGAATGTGTGTCAAATACTAAGCCACTAGAGTTCACCTGTCAAGGATTACAAGTTTTCTGATTAAAAAATAAAGCCCATTCATGGAACTGGGGTTGCCTGCCAGCAGGCTCTTTGCCACAGCTGTTATGAAAACTGGCAAAGAAGTGGGTGGAAAAATCATTGTCACCCTAACAGATGAGTCTTTCCTCACAAAATAGATGAATTTAGAACACCACCTTGTTCAGACTCATAAAAGCAAAAGTAAAGGGGATTTTATGGAAAATCCTGACCTCTTAAGAATTAGTTTATAAATTGAATTTTCCACTCTTGAGATATTTGATAAACCCTTTTTCTCTTCCACTAAAGGTCATGCCAAAAAGTAACACATACGATTATTCATATAATCATCTACCTGAGCCATGGTTTACTCATGCTGCTTATATCTGAAGTTCAACCTAACATAAAAACGTTTAGTATGAAATGACTTGCAAATTAGCATCTTCTAATTTGAAAAATGAATTCTAATTTGAATTTTTCTTTGAAATTCTACATAGAATATACTCTAATAAAAACAAAAAAATTAAAAATGTGAGTGTTGGGGACAGGGCAGAGGATTTTAGAGCTGTTCAAGACGGCTGGACATGGGAGCCGGGTTTTCCTCCTGCTTCACATCCTTGCTCTGTCTTCAAGCGCAGTGTAAGCGCCTGATATTAAGCTTTTGATTGCCAAGGCATCCATCTCAAATAAACATACTGCCAGGTGTATGGCACAGCTACCGGCAAACCAACTAGATAAGGAACCAAGCCACACCCACCCATGAAGTTCCCCTTTTAGAAAGCCCTGGGTAACCTAGATAACTGACCTCTTGAGTGACCCCACTTCTTCCTTCCTGCTCCCTAATTCCTGCTCTTATGTTTTAAATTTGCCAATAAAAAGTGAACTCTCAAAACCCTAGGTCCGCTACCCTCCACTCTAATAAAGGCAGAGCCCGAGCGAGGTCCAAGCTCCCTCCTTCCCTCTCTAACAGCAACCTGGACCTCACTGTGTGGCCCTCCCACATGCCATGTACCCTCCAGGACTGGCAAGTAATAAATCCTGGTTTTTCAAAGTTCCCTGATGGTTGTTTCAGAGGTACATCCTGCAATGATAATAAGAACCATGAGGGCTTGTCCAGCCACAACATTGGTTCTAGTCCAGAAAATGTCTGGGGGGCTTGCCACAAGTAATACAGGCCCAGGAGAGTATCTCAGGCATGTCTAACCAACAGCATCCCTATCATAGGTTGAGACAGACACATCAAGTCACTCTCCAGCTTCTCTGAATTAAAATGTATTCCCCTGAAATGCGAAAAAGAGTGATTGCTAATATTCAACTTAGCCTGGGGTAGGCAATGGAATTGCCATCAAAGCTGGTTTCTTTCTACTAAGTGTATTAACGAGTTTTGATAATACAATACATAGCCAAGATATTTTTTTAAGTGGGTTGCATTGTGCCCAGCCCAATTGGGTTAAGGGGTAGAGGGAGGGCTGTTTGTGACGAGAAAAGAATTCCCATTTTGAATTCATTCCATGACTCACATGTTTTTTCACAGATTCAAACATATCTGAAATTGACTGCATCATAAAAACACAGTTGTCCAGGTAGGATTGTGATGTAGTCATCATTGCCTGTGAATATGTGACTTCAATTGTCATTACTGGAGATCTGTTAAGGTATGTTTATATTTGTTTATAAATAACTCTACAGAAATTTATGATCGTGGAGTCACATTTGACATTTGAGCAACATAACCAAATCAGAGGTGTGATAGATAATTGAAATATATTCCTGAGATATGGAAACAATATAAACACAAATTTAATATGATAAATACATGTAAGCATACCTAAGAGCTACAATTTGTTTTAATAAAACGTGTTTTAGGAGCCTATACTATTTCTGTACTTCGAAGTTGTGGAAATTAATAAACAGAAACCTCATTAAAACGGAGTCAGGAGGCCAAAAGTGGAAGTTCTCATGCCCTACACCCATAGCAGGGCCCACAGGAAAAAAAAGGCTTCTTTTTGACTAGTACAAAGTTCAGCCAATGAGACTGTCACAGCTCAGCCAATGAAAACCCACTACACTTCAATTCCCAGTCTGTTCCAATGGATTCTTTGCTTACAATAGCCCTCCCGACTTTCTCTTCCCCTCCAGAAAAGTGTCTTCTCCCCTTGCTGCTGGAGACTTGCAGGACTTGTCATCTTTGCAGACTTTGAATTGCAATTCTTTGCTGATCATCAATAAACCCACTCTTACTGGAAAAATAACTGGCTGTCTACTTGTTTAAGATCAACATTTTGGTGGCCCATATGGGGATCCAGAGAAGACTCCCAATGACTCTGAGGCTGGCGAGGAAACAGGTGCAGTACCCACAACAGAGCCCATTGAACTCACTGCTTTTCTTGCCAACCCTGGAGTTTGAAGGTTAGTCTTTTCTCCTGGATCCCAGCTTCAGCTGTTTTTTGTGTTTGAGGCTCTCTAGGCTTTATTGGAGATCTCTGTTAAGGCTTCATCCTTTTCTGGTTAAGGCTTATTTGTCTGTGAGTACTTGGTTGGCACTTCAGCCTGATTCTTTTGAAATTAGGCTGTTTCTACCAGAACTGTGCCAAGCCTTTGATCGGATCCCTTTGGAACCAGACTGCCCCTACTTGGAACTGAGCTAGCACTCTAGCCTGACTCCCTGGGTGCAAGCTATTTCAGTTGAAACAGTGCCAGTCCTGGGGGCCCACCCCCTGGCCCGAGTGAGTAGGTTCATGCGCTCCACTTCGGTGGCTCAGGGTTCGCTGGGTCAGATTCTGGGCACAGACCTACACACTGCTTATCAAGCCATGCTGTGGTGGCCTCCCACATAGAAGACATAGATGACTTACAACTAGGATATACAACTATGCACTGGGGCTTTGGGGAGGGGAAAAAAAAAAGAGAAAGATTGGCAACAGATGTTAGCTCAGAGCAGTCTTCCTCAAAAAAAAAAAAAGAAAAGAAAAGAAAAGAGAAACTGTGCTTGTGCAGCTTTGGCCCAACTGCCTTTGGAGTAGACTGTTCTGTTGGAACTGTGTTGATCAACTTTCAGCCAGTCCCCTTTGGAAGCACACTGTATTATTGGAACTGGATTGATTCAACCTTCAGTCCACCTCAAGGAAACTGGACTGTTCCCTGAGAACTGACTGGAATTAAGGCTGCAGGCTGTTTGAGCTGTTCAAGCTGTTTGAATTGTAAGCTGTTTAGGCTGTTTGAGAGTTATTCCTTTGCTCTAGAGAAAAACCTCTAAGAAATAGGATCCCATTTATCTAAATATTTTGAAGGTGCCCCTCCTACAGGGAGCCCGGCTGACTTTATATTTAAAAACTGCAGCACTTCTTCACGTGCATTTCTGACTAAATGGACCGACTTAACCAAAAGAAATTGAGAACACCAATGGCCGTTGTGGGGAACTTCCAAACTCCCTAAACCTACTTTTCTTAAAATTGAATTGGACAACCCTAGCTCTGCAATTTCCAAAACTGAATGAAATGCTTATTTTGATTGGTATTTTGAGGCTTCCAAACATTACCAGGAATCTAAAATTGCCTCTCTGCAAAATAAAATTTTAAGATTAACTGAGGCAAACAAACCATTAAAGAAAGATAAAATGGCTTCTGAAGCCTCATGTTCCACTTCCCTGGCTTCTTTGTCTTAGGCCCCACCTCTGCCACCATCTTCCTCCTTCCTTTCTATACTGCCTACACCTCTTCTCTACACTTTTAATACAATCTATACTCTCAGTTCCTCCATACTAACTCTCCTTTCCCTGAACCTCTCCCAGCTCCCTCTTCCTCTGAACCTATCAGAAGCTGTCCGTCTAGAATTAAGCCTTCTGAGGATCTAAAGGCTAAAGCCCTAATCTCGTATACCCCCTGTACTAAAGCTGAACAGGGAGCCATAGTCAAAGACTCCCAAAATAACTGAAGATCCTCGCAGATTTGTTGAGGAATTTAATACAGTCATTCAAACTGAAGAACCTGGCTTCTCTGACTTACATCAGCTAGTTCGTGTGCTTGGCAGTGAAGGCCAGGCCCAGCATTGGATGAAAACAGCTAACTGGGAAAATCCTAAAAGGTCTCTAGAATTACAACCAGCAGACCAACCCACTGACCTGTTGCATGATCAGGCTCCGGCAATCGCTAGGTGACTTCATCAGGCAATTCCTAGGGCTTTCCCAAAGCCTGTTGATTGAAACAAAGTTCAGACTTGTGCACAAAAACCTGATGAACCTGTTCATGACTGTTATAATCGATTTCAGATTGTTTTTAAAGAAAATTCTGGTCCTCCTTCACATGTTGTTTCCACCTGGGTAGCTTTTAACTCTATGTTTATCAATGGACTGAACCAGGACCTTTCTCTTCTAGTAAAAAGGACCAGGATGGAAGGGGAAACTACATCCACTCCAGATTTAGTTAACCTGGCAAACCAACTCTCTCACATTCTAGATGAGTCACCTAAAAGAAAGACTGTCAAAATTCTTAATCTTCGATTCCAGCAAATAAAGGCCCCTAAACGAATCCAAAATTCTCCTAGTTTCTATTATTATTGCAAGGGGCCAGGGCATTGGAAAAGAGATTGTTACCAATTTAAGTGCTTCAAGTGCTTTCAGCCCTCTAACCAGCCTTTCTACTGTCCTCCAAATTCTCAGTAACAGGCCTCCGAGAAACCACAAGGGCTCTTCCAAATGTTCCTTCTTAATCGGCTTGGAGAAACATTTCTCTAAATTGGAGATGAATCTGTTTCTGTCCTAATTGACACCGGACCCACACTCTCGGTGCTCAACCTCACTACTACATAAACCAGCCCCTGCTTTGTACTAGAACAACTCAAATAGTGGGGGTCTCTATAACCTCAAAGGTTCCTGTCTCTCTACCTAGGCCCTTTTGTTTAGGCCCTTTGATAGACACACACCCTTTTTCCCTTAGCTCCTCCACCCATATTCATTTATTAGGCAGAGACTTCTTGGAAAGGAATCATGCCAGTATTTCTTTCTCCCAAAAGGGGGAAGTAATTCTAGAATTTGACAATAGCCATCAAAATGGCCGACCAGGTAAATTAAATGACCCTTTGACACCTTTTATTTGCTCTGTCTCTGAGAGAACTAGAGCTGATTCTGGAAACAATGATCATTTGTCCGCATTGAATCAGTTACCACCCTCCTTAGGGGCAAAATCTTCAACTGTTATTGGTAAAATTCACAGTGCACCTCCCAGTAAAATTCACATCGACCCCTTAAAACCTCTTCCCAGAATTAATCAATACCCTATAAGTAAAAAAGCCCTTCAAGGTATAAAGCCCATCATAGAGGATTACAAGGTTCAGGGCCTCATTATCCCTCGCACTAGTCCCTATAATTCTCCTATTGTACCTGTGAGAAAACCAAGGGCTGAGGGTGAAGCTTTGTCCAGGACCTCCGAGAAACAAACAATATCGTTATCCCTCCACACCCTGTTGCTCCTACTCCTCACACACTACTAACATCTGTCCTGAGCAAATTCTTTCCGGAAGGTAATTGATGTATGCAGTGCATTCTTTAGCATTCCAGTTGATGAAGCTAGCCAATACCTTTTTGCCTTCACTTGGGAAGGAAAACAATTCACCCAGACAGTAACGCCTCAGGGTTTAACTCAGTCTTACTTCTCACAAATCCTGAAGGCTGATCTGGATGATGGAAGTTCCCTAAGGACTTTGTTGTAATATGTGGACGATTTGCTTCTTTGCTCTTCTTTTTAAGTGTCCTCACAGAAAACAGCATCCATTTCCTAAAGCTTTTAGCCTTAAAGGCACATAAAGTCACCAAGGAGAAATTGCAGTTTGCCCAAACCTAGGTTTGATATTTAGGGCATCTGATACTAGAATAAGGCCTCCACTTAGTTCCACACAGGCTGCATGGCATCCTACGTTTCCCAAAACTCAAAACTAAGAGTCAACTGCTAGGTTTTCTCTAGCTAGTTGGTTATTGCTGAAATTGGATTCCAAATTTCTCCTATGGCCAAACCTCTATGTGCTGTAGTAAAGAACAACAATCCCAACCTAGTTTTATGGGAAGAACTGGACAACAAATCCTTTAAGGCCTTAAAGAAGAGTCTGATGAATCCACTTGCCCTTGGACATCCCAATTATCAACTTCCTTTTTTCTGTTTTGTATATGAAAAAGAAGGGAATGCCCTTGTGATACTCACCCGAAAACACAGGGACCTCATAGAGCATTATAGCCAGCAACTAGACCCTGTGGCATGGGGATCCCCCCTTGCCTTAGAGCCATTACTCCCACTGCCCTTTGGTTAAGGACACTGAGAAAATCATGTGGGGTCCCTTTAACAATTTTTGTACCTCACACTGTGGAAGCCCCCGTGAGTTTTCATCATACTGAATATAGTTCAGTCAGTCGCCTCATCTCCTATCAAATCCTTTTGTCAACTGCTCCTCACATAACTCTTTTATGTTGTAATAACCTTAACCCTGCTACTCTTCCCCTCTCCATTACCAATGAAGGCCCTCAGGACTGCTTTACGCTGACAGATACCCCCTAACTCCTTGCAATAATCTGCAGGAAATTCCTTTGGGTAACGCCAACTTCTAATGGTTATTAATTTGTAGAGACCCTCCAAATACCTTGGCCAAAAGCATTGCCATTGGTCCTTCTAGATCTCAGATCCATCCCCTCTGGAACTCATAAACTCTCACCCTTTGAGATAGTCACAGGATGCCCAATGCACTTGGTTCCTGCCTCTTTTGACCCACAGCTGATAAAAGGAGACACACTCCTGTATTGCAAAGGCCTAACTGCTTCTACTAAAAATAACCATGTTCTGGTAGAGCGATCTTTTCACAGTGCACTCCAGAGAAACGAAGACCTTAAGTGTCATGCTTTGCAACCTGGAGATTTTGTCTTTTGGAAAAGACACCTCCAGAAGGCCTCTCTTCAGCCTCACTGGAAGGGCCCCATCAGATACTGCTAACTAACCCTTGTGCTGCCACAATGCAGGGAACAGGCTCTTGAATTCATGTGACACACCTATAGAAAGCACCAAACCCTGACGGGAACCGCACATCATCTGGTGACTTAAAAGCAAAGATTTCCCGGAATTGAAGCAGACAACATCTGATGAGAGAGCTTTGTCAAGATGTCTGGACCAGGCCTGTTGGGAGTTTGTCTGTCAAACCTTTGATGATGACATAATGCTTCGCATGACCTCCAATGCCTATGATCTTGATAACATATGGACTTCAGAAAAGAAAAATGCCTGAGAGTTCTCCCTCCTATCCTCTTTATTATGCAAATATGGCCACAATAGGTTTCTAATCTGTGCACCTTGCCTCCAACATGGAACAGGACAGCCAGAAAATGTTCTTCTTGGCATTGAGGGACAAAAGGTTGCTGAAACCAGAAAAACCTGACTCTTGATCAGGGATGCTTTCAGAGAAAGATCCCAATCAAAAGGAAGAAATGCGGAAATTAACAAACAGAAACTTCATTAAAATGGAGTTGGGAAGGCAAAAGAGGAGCTATCACACCCTAGGTCGATAGCAGAGTCCAACAGGAAAAAGAAACACTTTCTCTTCTTGATCAGCAAGAAGCTCAGCCAATGAGAGACTGTCACAGCTCAGCCAATGAAAAGCCACTACTCTTCAACCCCCAGTCTCTTCCAATGGATTCTTTGTTTACAACAGCCCTCCCAACTTCTTCTTCCCCTCTATAAAAGAGTCTCTCCTCCCCTTGCTGCTGGGGACTTGCACATGGCTTAACACGGTTGGGTTGCAGACCCCGAATGGTAATTCTTTGCTGATCTTGAATAAACCTATTTTTGCTGGAGAAATAACTGCAGTCTATTTGTTTAAGGTCAACAAGTAAAATGGGAAACCATTGATACAACTTAAGAAAAACAATAGATTTTCACCATCAGTTCACATGCATTTTAAGAAGCAACATGATAGTCAGTCATTCATGGGCATGTCTAGGTTCCTGAATGTCTCCTTTGTCCTATTTACCATCCACAAAACCTGGACTTCAAGTTCAGCATAATTTGTGATTCAGTTTTAACTTCACATTTCCAACATTTTTACACCTCAGTATTGCTGTTTTCTAATATGAATTTATAATGTATTCATACAAATCAAACATCAGACAAAATTCTCATTTGTTTTGCCTTTTTTTTTTTTTTGCTGAGGAAGATTTCCCCTGAGCTAACATCTGTACCAATCCTCTTTTTTTTTTTTTTTTTTTTTTTGCTAAGGAAGGTTAGCCCTGAGCTAACATCTGTGCCAATGTCCCTCTATTTTGTATGTGAGTTGCCACCACAGCATGGCTGATGAGTGGCATAGGTCTGCACCCAGGATCTGAACCCATGCACCTGGGCCACTGAAATAGAGCATGCCGAACTTAATCACTATGCCACAGGGCCGGCCCCTCCAGTTTTTAAACCTATTTTAACTCTCCTTTTTAAAAATTAGTTTAAATGTGCCACATAACAGTAATGCCAACTAATGTCATAATATGGCTCTTAGTAGCTGTATCAGTAGCTTTGGTCTTTGAACACAAGCTTACATTCTTTAAAATTCTATCTTTTCACACGTATGTTAGCTTATGCCTTAGAAAGCAGACATATCAGCAAACCAAATTTTGAAAGAGACTAGAGGAAGGAGCATATCAACTGGTACCTTTTCAGAATGTGAGCCCCACAAGTAATTTCAAAAACCCCAAACTCTGAAGATGACTATAACTCCGATTTCATTTTCAAGAGAGTGAAATATTGGGTATATTCTTATCAGTTGCCTACTTGGATAACTTTTCCAAGTAGGAGAACTTTTAATTTTCCAGCCAACACAGGCATGTTTTTTCCTCTCACAAAAAACAAGAGCTATAAATTACATCCTGAATTTCAATTCTTTGATCCTATCCTGGTCTCCAGCTTTTTGCCTTTTATGAGATTGACCCAATGCAACTCCTCCATCTGACATGCCCAGTCTTTGCTAACTAGATAAAGGTGGATACTTGAGCCACTGTGGTTCAACATTCACAGCAATCTTTTGGGCAGGAAGCCAGTCAGGGTTCCTTGGGAATCTTCGTTACTGGAAGGCACAGTCCTCTGTCTTCACCACGTCAATGTGGGGAGGATCCCTTCAGCAATTGTAATGTATTTATACAAGAAAATCCTTTCAAAAGAAAAGTCTTGGCCCAGGATCAAAGCAAAATCATGACTAAAGGCCCATAGTGTTGAAGTTTCACAGCAAGTCATGCTTAAGAAATCAAAAAGACTATCATGAGAGAGAGGTATTCATGAGAGAACACAGTATGTTAGAAAGTGTCAGGGGGCGGACAGCTAGAGGAAGCAAAATGAAATGCATGGAGAGGGACAGAAAAAAGCAGGAAGAACCTCTGAGTGACTCTCTGTGGGCCAGCTACACAATTCCAGAGAAAGAGGATCATCCGCCTTTGCTGGCCTGGCTAGATTTTTGCACACTCAGCCAGCGATGTTCTAGGATAGGATAAATGTTCAGCTCTCTGTTCAGAGGAAATGCTCCTGGATCTTATGTTACCTCAGCTTCTCTCAGCCAGTCCAAAAGTACTGGGTAGGCAGCGTTGTCTATTAAAGAATGAAGATGAAAGAAAGTACTTGCCAGAATGGAAAGTAGTTTGAGGTATAAGGTTGTCCAACTGGCAAAGGCAAGAAAAAAAATGCATTTTTCATGGCTGGCACTGGAAATGGGTCTTGAAGTTCTACCTACAATCTCAGCAGTTCCACCCAAGAGGAAGTGCTTCAATGCCACTGCACCTTATGACCATGACCTTCTCAAGCACAGTTAGTTCACATCAGACACTGTAGTCAAAGTCTAAAATTTTTAATTAGCTAAAACAATCTGTGGTATGATAAAAATCATGTTAATTGAAACAACAGTGCTAATTACCAGTGAAATATATATATATATATGTTAGATATTTGAACAGACACACCTTGCTCTTCACTAGCTCCTTCCATCCCTTGCATAGTTCAGAATGGTCTGATGGGCAGCAGTCACTTGGAAGGCACAGAATTCCCTAACTTCCGTCTGTTCATTCCAGTTACTCCACCTCTCAGGGTGGTACCCACACAGGGTGGTAGGATGGCATAACTAGAGGGAAAATTAGGCTCTCAGGGGTACAGCCAGGTAGTTTTCAACTCTTCATGAGGCTGATTGTAATTGTAGGCAGGGATGTAATAGGAAGAGTGGGATGGCAATTCTGAAGCAAACTAGAGAAAAAGAACCAAAAGCCTGATTTGTGACCACAAAAAATCCAAAGTCCTCTGTTAATCTGGAGGTCAAGGAAGCTATTGCTCCAAGGAATCAGCAAGGCATCAGAGACACCCTCCCCAAAAGGCCAACACCAGAACAAAGCGCAAGCCAGACCAGCCAAAAGACTGCAATTTGAGGCAAATGGGCAATATATGACATCAGGAAAATCAGCGTCCCTGGGAAGACCAGCTGAAAACCAGAGCCGGAGAGGGTCTGGAGTCTGTACAAAGGAAAGGTTCACCAGCTTAGTCAGAGAAGGGAATGTCCAGGGAAGACTCAGGCCTTGATATAGAAAAGGCCCAGGGCCTAAAATATTAAGAACCAACCGATTTTTGTACATTGATTTTGTATCCCGCAACTGGACTGTAAGCCTTTATTATTTCTAAAAGTTTTTTAGTGGACTCTTTAGGGTTTTCTAGATATAAAATCATGTCATCTGCAAGGAGTGATAGTTTCACTTCTTCTTTTCCAATGTGGATCCCTTTTATTTCTTTTTCTTGCCTGATTGCTCTGGCTAGGACTTCCAATACTATGCTAAATAAGAGTGGTGACAGTGGGCATCCTTGTCTGGTTCCTGTTCTTAGAGGGATAGTTTTCAGTTTTTCTCCATTGAGAATGATATTTGCTGTGGGTTTGTCATATATGGCCTTTATTATGTTGAGGTATCCACATGCAAAAGAATGAAAGTAGACCATTCCCTTACACCATGCACAAAAATCAACTCAAAATGGATTAAAGACTGGAATGTAAGACCCGAAACCATGAGACTCCTAGAAGAAAACATAGGCATTACGCTCTACGACATTGGTCTGAGCAGCATATTTTCAAGTCCCATGTCTGACTGGGCAAGGGAAACAAAAGAAAAAAGGAACAAATGGGACTACATCAAACTAAAAAGCTTCTGCACAGCAAAGGAAACCATCAACAAAATGAAAAGACAACCTAACAATTGGGAGAAGATATTTGCAAACCACATATCAGATAAGGGGTTAATATCCAAAATATACAAAAAACTAATACAGCTCAACAACAGAAAAACCAACAATCCAATTAGAAAATGGGCAAAAGATCTGAACAGAGATTTCTCCTAAGAAGATATCTAGATGGCCAACAGGCATATGAAAAGATGCTCAACATCATTAGCTGTCAGGGAAATGCAAATCAAAACTACAATGAGATATCACCTCACTCCGGTCAGAATGGCTATAATTAACAAGACAGGAAACAACAAATGTTGGAGAGGGTGTGGAGAGAAGGGAACCCTTGTTCACTGCTGGTGGCAGTGCAAACTGGTGCAGCCACTATGGAAAGCAGTTTGGAGTATACTCAGAAAATTAAGGATAGATCTACCATATGATCCAGCTATTCCACTGCTGGGTATTTATCCAAAGAAGTTGAAAACACAAAGGCATAAAGATACTTGCACTCCTATGTTCATTGTGGCATTATACACAATAGCCAAGACTTGGAAGCAACCTAAGTGCCCATCAGGGGCGAATGGATAAAGAAGATGTGGTATTTATACATGATGGACTACTACTCAGCCATAAGAAATGATGAAATCTGGCCATTTGTGACAACATGGATGGACCTTGAGGGTATTATGCTGAGTGAAATAAGTCAGAGGCAGAAAGTCAAATACCATATGATCTCACTCATAAGTAGAAGATAAAAACGACAAAAAAAAAATCACATAGCATGGGAGATTGGACTGGTGGTTACCATTGGGGAATGGGGGAGGGGGGAGGGCAAAAGGGGTGATTAGGGTCACATGTGAGGGGATGCACTATAATTAGTGTTCAGGTGGTGAACACGATGTAATGTATACAGAATTTGAAATAAGATGTACATCCGAAAAAAAAAAATTAAAAAAAATAAAAATAAATAAATACACCCAAAAAAACTTTTTTAAAAATTAAAAAAAAAATAAAGAACCAAAAATGCCAAGAGAGGAGAACACACATGCAACATACTGGGAAGAGAGAATAGGACCAAGTGTCTTGGGGTTGTACAGACACACCTTGATGTCAAAGACTGCAGTGAAGGATCTAGTTCCACCCCACCTACTCAATCACCCTCCATCTCTCCTGTTCCTTTACCCTCTAGCCTGCTTTTCTAAACTTCGACTGGCACAGAGGCTGTCTCCTCATTCTCCTACCTCTCATCTCATCTTCCTCTTCTCTCTCTTCCTCTCCTTTTATGCTTCCTCTCCCTTATCTCCTTCTGTCTCTCTCCACTTTCACTTTTCATTACTATGATTTCATAAATGTCAAATTGTGACAAATTATTCTAATAGGGAGAACAGGAGAGACATAGAAATGACAAATTAAGGGTACTGAAGTAAGTATAATTTTTGCTACTCTTCTAAGATTTCAAAAAACGAATAGACTTAAAACACTCTTATGAGGCTGTTTACATGACTCTTCCCCAGCTCACATTCCAAGGCATACACATTACCTTTATTTAGTCTACCAGCAATGGATCTACCAGCAATGGCTCTGAGGGTCACATTCTTTAAAGTTACAGCAGCAGCAGCTCATCCACCACTCACAAACTAAATAGAATTCACACTTGTTAGAGATCATGCTCCCACGGTTCCAAAACAGGACAGATGTTAATGTCAAATAAAGCAATTTTTCTTGCACCATTTATTCTATTGGTTTTCATGCTTGGAAATTTGTTCCTTTAGTTTAATAGTGCAACGGACTGAACGTTTGTGTCCCCCCAAAATTCATATGTTGAAATCCTAACCTCCAACGTAATGGTATTAGTAGATGGGGCCTTTGGGAGATGATTAGATCATGAGGGTGGAGCCTTCATGAACGGGATTAATGCCTTTATAAAAGGGACCCCAGAGAGCTCCCTTCCTCCTTCCATCATATGAGGACACAGCGAGAAG